AAGGAAAAAAGAAACTTTTTTCGTAAAATTTCTTCTTAAAAATTTCTACACGATTATTATATAGAAACCGATCGATCGATAAATCGATAAGAATCGTTCGAGCGACGACCGACTCGCATCGAAAGGATAATAATAATAATTCTTGACCGATATCGAATCGTGGAACTGCTCGCCAGGAGATCTCAGTCATCGACTGTCGAGCAAAGCTATTATTTATTTTGAAAATCGTAGGATCGTACGCGTGGAAAGTGGATAAGAAATTTTACACGGGGAACAATCCGCGTACAATCCACCGTTGTTTCGGATCAATTAGGAAGTACTACTGTACGGATACATAGACGGTATCGGAATTCGAAATGTACGGAAATAGATCGGTTGCGCAACACGCTTGGTAAATTAAGATTGTGACGCGGGCGGATGCCATACCGATGTTTATTGCAAGACTTTTAAAACAACGCGTGCATATCGCGCGAAACGAAACGATGAATCCAAATATAAGAGGAGAGTCGTTGGAAAATCGATGCGAATCGCGCCACTCTCCTCTCGTAACGGGTTTATCGAATACCCGAAATTTCTTCAAATTTATTCTCGATCCATCTGCCTCCCCGTGTTCAAAATCAATATTTTTTAACGTACTCGTTAAGCTCAGTTACTTTTTTCTGGAAAAGGATCATCGTACGATGCAAAAAACAAATTCATAGTATTCATACGATAACGATGGAAACAGAGACGCTCGTCGAGCAAGCGTTATTGGAAAAGACCGGGCGATCACAGGCCTTTGTGGACAATGGCAAGGAATAAGCAGAGACCGATCGTGGAGGAGAGTGACGAAAACCCGAAAATATCGAAATTCTCGACCCGACCCGACCTCATCCGACTCGTTTCCTTCACTTTTCGCGCGCATTCTCTAAAAATACCTTAAACATTTGCCCTCGTTCTCCTTAATCGTAAAATATAAATAATAAAGGACAGTGTCGATTCTTCTCGACACGAATCGCGGAAAACAATCTCTCGGTCGATTCGCATCGAAAAATGATTTCTTTATTTTCTTCGATCTCGCGGATGGAAAGAAGGGAGGAAGGGAGGGGAGTTCGGTCAATTAGTCGGTTGGGCGCGTAACGGATGGAAAACGCGTGGTGGGGAGGTCCGACCAGTGGCGCTGTCGCAGCAAGATTCAACAACTATATCGGGCTCCGTCGCGGCTTGGTCGGCCCACGAGGAAGACGATCCCCGCGCATCGCTCTCGCTGACTCGCAAGGAATTTTGTTATCGAGCCACGACCGCCGCAAAGGGTGAGAGAGATCCTATATAATCCCCGTTTTAAGGTAATCGTCCCTCGAGGTGAGTGAAACGAGTAATCTTCGCGATTGAAATGGATGATCGGTGACGAGGCGAGTCGAGAATGGGGCTTCGTTCGAGACGGGCGAGTCGGAGTGAAACGGGAGAGGGAAGGAAGGAGAAGGGAGGAGAATGCGATCGCTGGATCGTGGTATGCGGTATCGCGTTAAAGTCGGTCGTGCGCGCGAATGCGAGCGACAAACGGCGTGGAACGAGACGGCGAAGAAAGAGGCGGCGAGGTTTTTTAGTTGGAAGCACAGGGGCGCACGGCAGAGCGAGAGAGCGGGAGAGGCCGAATCTAGGGATTATTTCGGGATTGGCCAGAGATAAACCGGGCCAACGTCGACCGAACGAAGCAAAACCACGAGTGAACGGAGCCTTGAGGTTTGACTCATCTTTCTGAACTCGAAATTGGCTCCCTCCCAAAATTACGCACAACATAACGTCGTAACGATGATCGAGTATTTCTATATTTCCGTTGTCTTTCCAATCTCTTCCCTCTCCTCGCCCGAGATCAATCGATCATTCTCCTCCTCCTCCTACTCCTTCCCCTTCTTCTCTTTCTTCTTTCCTCTTTGTTCGTTTGAAAACTTTCCGTTTTTCACGTTTTCTTTTTTTTTTTTTTCAACGTACAACCATGCGACCACGTGCACGATCAATCGATCGATCGATTTTTCGAATTAACCTTCAAAAATTTTTATCCTTCGACTGTTTAAATCGAAAAGTTCTTTGCTTTCTCTCTCTCTCTCTCTCTCTCTCTCTCTCGACTGTTGCTAGATTCGTCATTCGAATTTACCTCGAAAATAAAAAACGAAACTTTTCGTCACGATCGATAGAAAATACGTTAACCTCGTTGTACGATCTTTTTGATCGGGTATTCGTAATTTTTTTCCAATTTTTTTCCCTTACTCGCGTCACGAATAGCTGTAAGAGTTGGTAAGTCTAAGAAAAAAAAGAAAAAGAAAAAAAGAGACGACTTATCGTAAGAAATTTGACGCAAGGTCAGGCCGAGAAGCGAAATAGCGAAAGAATGCAGGTTCATAATCGTAGAATGGAAGTTGTTCGCGCGATAAACGGGAACAATTTGGCTGCGAGACAAGAGGAACACCGGTGTTGCATTACGTCTGGTACGAAAAGGATGAACGCCAACCCAGTATCGACCCACTTGTTCCGATAGGCCTTACAGCCAATGCTCTATTCAACTGCTATTTCGAAATAATTTTTTATAAATAAAAGAACATCCACCCCACTCGGAAGAAAATAATCGGTACATCTTTCTTCACCTTTGTCAACCGTTCTATTTCTTTTTTTTTTTTCCTTCTTCTTTTTTTTTTTTTTTTTTATACATGGCGCCCGATCTTTTTCATCCCGATAAAATTCATCGCGAAAACGTTCGTTTAATAAACGATATTTATCGCTTGCAACGAAATCGCTTACCTTTAAAGATAGATGTGTATATATATTTCATTCGCGTCAGTATTCGTTTCGTGTTGAACCAAAAAAAAAAATAAATAAATAAATAAATTAAAATACGATCGTTCCTTTTATTTATTGATACTATTATTATATATATATATATATATATATATATATATA